AAAATTTGTTATTTGTACCTCGTTCGGTTTTCAAATTACAGCCAATTTTCATAATTTTTTTGGAAACTTTGATGGCCCATATCTCTTCAGGGGTGAACATTTTACTAAGGCGATTTTTTGCAGATCGTGTTCATTTGAAATGTAGATTCACTGGTATCATTTATGCTACTCCATTCAAAAACACCCTGTAGATACCTTTAAAATTGGACAATAAGGGAAGTATATATACTAATATAACTTACGAATATATTTGGAAATTAAAGTAGGCATATTGTCCTGCGCAAACTTTATTTTTTTTAATAATAACAGCTAAAACTCTGGTTTTACAAAAATGTTCGAAATATGTGAATTTCGGTGTTTTTGAAAAATGTCTACAAATTTTTTATTACCCTCTAAGGTACATCGCCGACCTTAGTGGGACAATCTGTATCATTAAAAAATTTAAATTATGTGGAATATAAACAAAAAAAAAATTGAAGATGAAATAGTGAGTGATCATAATAAAATTTGTGATGCGTATCATCCTCCTTTTCTGAAAAAATTTATGTAAAAATCCCTTATTTTTCATAAATTATGCGTTCTCAAAATATAGGATGACAGTTTATACAGGGTGTAAGAAGTTTGACTGCCATTACTTCAGCATGAGATAGAGTAATCAAAAATGAACAAAAAAGTTGTATATTACAGGGGAGTGATGAATCCGGCTATCTATATTTGCACTATTTAATATAATAGAATAGAAAACATTTCTGAGAAAAATTCAACTCTATGTTTTGGTAAGTAGATTGCGCCCCCTAGCGGCCGAGCTACGAACTTGAAAACTATTTCCAGCTTGGTCTCTTGGACGATTTATTCAGCAAAATATTTTTCCCGAAGTTCTAGGGCCTATACTTTCTCTAATATCGTACCTCGCCGACCTTAGTGGGACACCCTGTATTATTGAAAAATTTAAATTAGGTGGAATATAAACAAAAAAAATTGGAGATGGAATAGTGTGTTCATAATAAAATTTGTGATGCGTATCATCCTCCTTTTCTGAAAAAATTTATGTAAAAATCCCTTATTTTTCATAAATTATGCGTTCTCAAAATATAGGATGACAGTTTATACAGGGTGTAAGAAGTTTGACTGCCATTACTTCAGCATGAGATAGAGTAATCAAAAATGAACAAAAAAGTTGTATATTACAGGGGAGTAAGATTAACAGTTTTCAAAATACAGCGAGTATTAATATTGGGGAGCTTCATTACAACGTGGCAACAGCGCTTAACCTGCTGATGACGTGTGCAAGCGGCAGACTTGTCCTACGGAAAAAATGTAAACAGCTATTATTGTGAAACATTTAGTAAATTTCAAGGCAATTATTTTCCAGTTTTTAGATAAATAAAATAAAATGTATCGATTTTGTAGTACAAAGTTGTGCTTAAATTTTAGCTTGAATTTTAGTAATTATGAATCTCTTAAAACATGAACATAACTTTTAATCAAATAATGTATTTGAAAAATATGTAATTAAAGTACTCAAATATTCACGTCGTCCAAATAATCATATACGTATTAAAAATAATTTAGGTAGTTACCAAAAAGCAAAATTCAGTAATTTTTAGACGCACAAGTACAAAACAAACTACAACATATGCTTAAAATGTCCACCACCATTTTCGATGCACGCACGACACCTTCGAATTAAATTTTCGCACACTCGCTGTAAAACACCTCAAGAAAAGGAAATAGTGGTACGCAAAAAACGCTCCGACACGGTCGAATCCAGATACCAACTGAATTGCGTATTGGTGGTTGCTGGACACCTTAGTACCTCGTGTTAATGAACCGCCGCGCCCTTGTCACATTGCACGATATGAATTTTATTGAATTGTAAATTTATGACAACGCTAATTATTTTTTAGAATGAAGCGTAACGAAGTTCAAAAAAGTGATAAACATTGTATTTTATGGTATTCTATGAACGCAGTTATGTCAATATTCCTTAATTAATCGAACTTTTGTACATCAAGTTGGCGATTTTGATAATTTTTTTCCCGGAAAGGGTTGAGGGTGTTGAATTTATGTTATACAGTGTAGGAAAGTACCGATGGTCTATCAGAAGTTACGTGAGAGCGATAAAGTAAGCCATAGAAATCCATGTGATGGACAAGGATGGCTATAATGAAGGCGTCTAATAGTCAACGCCCATTTCGCCCTTCCACAAATAAGAAGTCGCTCTCACGTAACTTCAGATAGACCATTGGTACTTTCCTACCCTGTATAAGGTTTTTTGTTTATTTTAATGTATTCTATCGTCTGTTAAAATTAAGGCAGTCAAATTTCTAACACCCTGTAGAGAGAATCGGTCGAAATTTGCAAAAACGTCAACGGGATATTTATTTACATTTACGCCAGATCAAAAGAATGTCAACTTTTAGTAATAAATAGGTACCTACGAAAATTATAAAAAACTTATCATTAACCCGTAAAATGTTCTCTCGAAAGACCCAGCCAGACCATTTCGTAGTGAAGTAATTTCTTTTCTCCAAAAAAGCAATTAAAGTAGAGTATTATTGTCCGAGATGCTCCTCCTTAGCTTAACCATAACCACCAAGCAATGAGTATTGAGGGATACAGTCAATATTTGAGTAATAGCTATTCATAGCGAGATACTAGTACTTCCCTCTAGCGTCAGGCAGTCGAAACTTGAGCATTGAATTGCACTTCAAATTCTCAGCCTGAAGAAAATTGGAAAAAAACATTGATAATTTTTGCACATCAGATTAATATTTTTTTCTACTTGTATGCAGTAGCAAATATTGTGTAAAAATATTAATCATTTGTTTAAGAACGCCTTAAAGGAAAATATGGAATTTATAGAAGATATCAATAGTAGAGGCTGAGAACTATATAGAATGAAAAGAGTTTTCGAATAGGAATAATTATTTCTATAATTTGCCGGATGCGCCAGGGATAATAGAAAATTTCATCTTCGCGTTTTATTATCCCACATGTCTATATATGTATTTTTTAATTTTACATTACCTACTTTATTACTATGTCATTAATGCTGACGACATTTCATAGTCAAGAAATCGCACTGTTAATAAGACAACGATAGAACAAGTAGATCCATCCAGAAAGAAACGAAGCGTAACGCTAAACTGGAGCAATTTCCTTTAATTTTTCGCATTCTAAGATCACGGAGGACATGTAAACATCAGAAAATGTATCTTTCCTATTTTGTCAAGCAAATTTGCGAAGATACTCAATAATTGTGATTAATGTTTGTGTTAATAGTTTCCTACGAGCATTCTGCGGGGTGGGATTATGTTTGTAGTACCGTACGAGATTTTCTGGATACTCAACAGGAGTGCAAAATTCAGGAAACGTAAGATAAATATACGAAATAAAAATATGCTTTTTTCCTTTTTTTTAATCTATTCTCAGTTGTCTTATACTTACCTTGAAGAAAACTTATGTAACTGGTACAGTGAAGAGATATTGTTTCTAACTTGGACAAAAACGATGGACAATAAATTGCGCATAGCTATAATAACCCCCCTTACAATAATTTTAACTTAACTCAAGGAATATAGGACCCCCCCCCTAAAAAATGGTCCGATAAATTTTGTTCCCCCCACACATTCAATTCCTCCTCGAAGTACTGGCAACACTACCACTGTCTGCGTTGCAATGGCGGAAAGAACATTTTCCTGTCTCTGGGGACTGTAAGGTCTACAATGGTTAACGGGGCTAGCTTTGCTACATGCCCATCACAATATTCAACTTAAGGGCGCTATATTCTTTAAAAAGTGTTTTCCGCAAAGACAAATAATTTCAAACATTTAATAACTGAATAATCTAAAGCTTATCAAATAATAGGAATATTATGTCATACCACCTGAGTATTTTCAGACGATCCAGTAAAACGAATAAACAGGTGCAAAAAACGATCAAACCATCAAGGTTTTAGGTACTGAAATCTTCGAAAATACAATAACTCCACATGTAAATATTTCTGTAACATTTACTTGCTTAGTCCTCCATACAAAATTATTTACTTTTATTTATAAGTACGTGCAAATAATTCTTAAAATGTGGGGTTCGGATAACAGCAAACGCATGTTTTACAAACGCTTTTTTAGTTATTATTTTATTTGAGTAAATTTAAATGGTAACAATGAATAAACAGAACATCAAGGATTTTATTTTTGTGCTTACTTTTGTTTTACACGTTTTACTTTTCAAGATTTCAGTACCTAGAAACGCCAGAAATTTCATTATTTCTCGGCCACCTTAAATTTGCGAACCAAAAAAACATCGAGTAGAATTTACTCTACCAAATCGACTTTTACTTGTTGTTTGTTACATTGTTTTTAAAATTTTCTAATCAAAAATGTTTCTTAGTTTTCTTGACTGCATGACCTTTTTTTTTATTTTTTTTATAGCTCTTTTTAGACATCAACTGTACACCCCCTCCCATGGAAAGGTGGGTGAAGGTCATGTTATTACATTACACTTCGAATCCTTAGGTTTCGTTCGTTCAACTGTTCAACAGTTCAACATAAAACACGCAAATAAATTACAAAATTTAAAGAAATTAAGTACCAACTTCGAAAAAGTCGCAACGGATTTTTTTTTTATTAAAACGCTGATTACTTTATATGGGTAATAATTAAAGTGGGTATCAAAAACGAAATATTTTAATGGAGAATGTTTAACAGACAAAGTTTAAGGTCAGACCAGGCTATTAAAAATTAAACGAATATATTTAACCATATTATAATAGATAAATAACTCGACACAGGCAAAAATTTAAATATGCTATTATAATTAATTGTAATTTATTTGAAAAAATGTCGCTAGGACGCTTTCGCTTTCATATAGGGTATTCCCCATCGATTAGATCACGTTAATTCTAAATCACACAGACACCTGATTATTTTATTTAAATAAAATGAAATTTACTAGAAGTTCAGGGAATATTTGAGTTTTTTTTTTTTTTTTTTCAGGGAAGACATGGAAAAGGTGAATATAAAATTCCACGAGAACGGCACTGTGTCTTACCAACACAAAAAAATACTACAATTTGTACCTGAGCTGTCAGTCAACAAACACCAGAAGATCGTTGTGCCCAATATACCTCTCCTTGTAAGTAAAAATTCACTGTTTATTACATATACAAATAACGGATGTTAGTGCAAAACATTGTGAAAAACCATTTTATACCATCAAATACATAAATGTAGGTTGGCAGACAACATATCAAAGAAATATAATTTATCCCCCAAAGGGTTAGAAATCACCCACAGGCCAGGGTCTCACTGACCCTTTTAAGTTACACATTTTTCTTTTCGATATTTTGCCTGACTTTTGTTACCGCGGGTTTTTGGAGTCGCTGATTACGAATCTGAAGTCCGAATCCGAAAATTCCTGAGTAAAAGATGGCGGATACGATATGGCAGATGTAAAAATCGGAAAAGCATTCGAAGATTTGGCTGAAACTTGTAAATAGTGATTCATCGCTAGCTCTTGGACTAGTAAGGGGGATGAAGCGTGCCGGGAACGAAAATCCATTGGCGTGTCTGCGTAAAAGGCAATAAGATATAGAAAATATTGAAAAAACATAATAAAACATAACATCTAATAATTTTTACGGTTTGCTATAACCGGCACACTATAATTCATTTGGACTTAGGTACGGACAAAATTAAATAGCGCCTCGTAGAAAAAAGATAAAAAAAATAAAAAATAGCATTTTAAAGCTTAAGTAGAACAGAATAAGGGAAAAATAATCACATTTCACCAGCATCCTATTTACACCCTCAAAATTGAACCCCAAAATTATAATTTTGAAAAAAAATTTACATTTTTTGCTCTCTCGTTTGAAAAAAAAATTTTCAAAGATATAAAACATTTATTTTATAGTTTTTGAGATGAGGAATAAGGATCTATTGTTTAAATTGAGCTAAAATAATTTAGAACCCTTAAATTTACGAATATTTCAGTTTATGATGTTTTTAGCTCTGATTTCCGCTCTTATGCATCGATTTGCTTGAAATTTGGAAAGTAGGTGGAGAATAGCTCAAGAAACAAAATACATACTATGCTGATATGTATTTTTACCCTGGGGTGGTTTTTACCCCTTGATAGGGGTTGAAAATAAATTTTGTCTAAATAATCCCGGGAATCGATAGAGCAACTAATTTGAAGCAATTTTTCAATTGAATATTTGAGTTTTCAATCGCAAATAACTCAAAAAGTATTGGTTTATCAAAAAAATTGCATGACACATTTTTTGCTTCAAATTAGTTGCTCTATCGATTCCCGGGATTATTTTGACAAAATTTATTTTCAACCCCTACAAAGGGGTAGAAACCACCCCCAGGGTAAACATATATATCAGCATGGGTGTATTTTGTTTCTTGAGTTATTCCCCACCTACTTTCCAAATTTTAAGCAAATCGATGCATAAGAGCGGAAATCAGAGTTAAAAACATCATAAACTGAAATATTCGTAAATTTAAGGGTTCTAAATTTTTTTAGCTCAATTTAAACAATGGATCCTTATTCCTCATCTCAAAAACTATAAAAAAATGTTTTGTATCATTAATAATTTTTTTTTCAAACGAGAGCAAAAAATGGAAATTTTTTTCCAAAATTATAATTTTGGGGATCAATTTTGAGGGTGTAAATGGGTGCTGGTGAAATGTGATTATTTTTCCATTAATCTGTTCCACTTAAGCTTTAAAACGCTATTTTTTGTTTTTGTTTTATCTTTTTTCTACGAGGCACTACTTAATTTTGTCCATACCTAAGTCCGAATGAATTATAGTGCGGCACTTTGATCAATTTTAATTATTACAGCATTTTAAAACGTCCCAGTTGTGTTTTTTTAATTTATAAATTTATTATAGCCATGGAATTAGACCCCTCGTCTACGCTTATGCTATGACGTTTCTCAGGTCGGGCAAATCAAGTCCGTTTACACCCACTAAAAAAGCATTTCCCTATTCCCTACCAAGTGCAAAAGACAGAGATAAAATATAGATCGACGTTTAGTGTAACTCAGTCTATACACGATTATAGATTCTACCGATGTGCATGGCGAGCGGCACAAAGATAAATAATATTGAACCGCATAGAAATCATTTTATATTTTATACGCATTATGGTAATAGTGTTTTTATATTATGTATTAGTCACTCTTTATAATTTCGGCAGCCGAGTATAGGCGATTTTTCAATGCCGCCAATCACGAATGTAATGTTTTAATTCAGGAACTGTTAAATCAAAAATGGCCATTATGGCGGATTGAAAAATACAATAGAAATTGGTATTTACCACTCAAAGAACTGCGTTATGTTTAAAAAATTAAGTCATTTACGCTAAAATAGGTAAATGAAACAAAGAAAATAAATTCGATTTGCAAAGTGCTGTATCTTTCAAATACCTACAGTGGTAACACCATACGCTCAAATAGGAAGACGCACAAAATGAGTAAGATTTTAGAGCTAAAAATATAAATGACAAACTACCGGCAAACGGAAGGACAGGGGGAGGGGGGGGGGTTGTAATACACATGGACCCCTTCATTTTTTATGTAGTACGCCTATGGTTTCAGATTTTTTTTTTAGATAGAGCGTTTTATTATTCTATTTTTATCACTCTTATAAGATTTTGATTTGGGTCTCTGTTTGTGAGATATTGCAACTTTTTTGGATACGTGACATCGGTTTAGTCGACATTTTTAAATTATCCAGTTTCTTTTAGAAGAACTTTAAGAAGTTTTAACAAATCATATTCTCGAATGGAATGTACCTGTTCCTGCTTAATATCTGAACATCCGAACTTCTTAAAGATTATTATCATACTATTTATTTATCCTTAATACTTGAACAAAAACGAGTTAAGCCATTGGCTGTCAAAATAACTAATTATTAAGAAAAAGAAAAGGAGTGAAGTGAAAGGTGTTTAAATAAAAGCTGCTTTCTACTAACTAAAATTGATAGAGAAGATTTTTTGCCATTTTCTGAAGTGACATATACAGGGTGTCCCAGAATAACGTGTAGAACGAAAGACCACAGATTCGTGGATTCAAAATAGGCAGATTTAGACTAATTCGCCTATATCCGAAATCGCTTTGTTTGGCCGCTAGATGTCCTCAAAGTTCGTGAAATTTGTTTGAATTTTGTAAATAACTCGAATACGTATTAATCAATTTTGATTATTTTTGGGTTGTAGACTTTTGCTTTCAATCTACACATTTTGGTGCTATACAGAGTATTTTTTAAAACTTACAACTTCTACAAAATTGATGTATGGTGATAATATCCGTTCACAACTGTTTCCTCTTTCGTGCAATAATGACAACTATTTTTTTTATTTGATAGGTGATACAATTTGGAAAATTTTAGACCCCTTCTAAAATTTTGATTAAATGAGCGGTTTGGGTACAAAAAAATATTTTTTAAATGTCTACATTATCTTGCCACCTATTTTACAATACTTAACAAAGTGCTAGTAGTCACTAATTTTGTAGGTTGACTAATTTCAGTTTGAGTCATTGTACCTGCCTATTCTTAATGAATGTTTACAACGATAAAATATACATACCACATGTTACTTACTCCTTACTCTATTTTTCGATATGGATACACACGTACGACGAATTAGAGTTAATTACAACGTGCATGCCTAATTTTATTGAAATAATTCGTAAAAACAATAAAATACAATAAAAAATGCTGGAGATAAAAGTACCTAAGTTAAATTTAGTACAACTTATTACAAAAACTGTTCAAAATGAATACCATTGTTTGTACAATAAAGGTTAATTCGGCGAAGAAAGTTAAAGGACACCTTTTGCAGTTCTGAAGGGCTATTTTTTAAAACATTAATGGCATTTTGGATATGCCTCCACAACTCTTCTTCAGTATTAGATGTGGAAGTATGCACTGTTGTTTTCAGAGTGCTCCAAAGATAATAGTCGCAAGGTGTTAATTCTGGTGAACGTTCAGGCCACTTAACAGGAATATTTTTCGCTCTACCGATCCATCGACGAGGGAATCTTTGGTGCAGATACCTACTGACGGACATTTACAATGAAATGCGCCATCATGCATAAAGCACATGTTAGCTCTGAGTAATAAAGGCACATCTTCCAATAACTTGGGTTTTACAAAAATTCTAAATAAAATTCCCCATTCAGTAGAATGGGGTAGAATAACAGGACCAATAATAATGCTATCAATGATCCCAAATCAAACATTGATGCGAAATTCATGCTAATAATGTTTCACTTTGACAGCATGTGGTTTTCTTCAGCATACACATGTTCATTGTGAATATTTATTATTCCGCTTCTAGTAAAACAGAATTGGCAGGTACAATGATTTAAATATTAAACTGAAATTACAGTCAACCTGCAAATCAGAGCGTACTAGCACTTTGTTAAGTACCTATTGTAATATGGGTGGCAAGATAATGTATACATTTGAAAAATATTTTTTTGTACCCAAACCGCTCATTTAATCCTAAAAACCTTCAAATGGTATCACCTATCAAATAAAAAATAGTCATTATTGCCCGTATGAGGAAAAAGTTATGAACGGATATTCTCAACACACAGGTTAAGGAAACCCACTTTTTGATTTTTTTATATTTCTCAATTTTTATTTCGCATTTTATGTAGTGACATCTACACGAACGTTGTCATATTTTTTTTTAGATGAAAAACTATTCTCAAACCAACTTAACTCAAGATTCTTATTCATTTTTTAGACGCTGGCCACACAATCCAACAACATGGGCTACTGGGTCCAGAAGACCATCTCGCTGCTGCTGAGCATGAGCAGTTACAAACCCTTCGTCTCCATAACGGCCGACGAACTGGTTTTCGGCTACGAGGATAGGCTAGTGGCTCTGGCACATCAGTTTTACCCAAAGAGGAAGCGACCCGCCGACAGAATGGGTCTATTCATCAACGTGAGTAATAGCAAGTTGTTTTCTTCGTCTTCTTCACTTTGTCCGACCGTTCAAAACAGGACCGTACTTACTTAGGTTTTATTAAGTGTAAATGTAAAAGAAAATATAACAAAAGTAAATTTTAAGATACAATTTATAAGAATTTACTTAAAAATGTTCCCTAGTGTAACACATTTTGATGATTGTTACGAAAAATAAATGAAAATTTTCATTAAAATGATTCTATGTCAAAAGTCATAAGATCCAGCTGTCGGTTCTGAATTAGTGTTTTACACAATCCTGTTCTTTTAACATTTACCGTCATTATTGACAGAAACGGGAAATTGACTCTACTGAAAGATTATTAACTTTTTCTAACAACCAAAAACTACATATGTGAGCCAAGAGTGAGCTCAAACGAAATCATGCCTTAACACGTTGACTGCGGTACATACCTCGGGGGGTATGTACTCATTATAAAAAATATGCGAATCTCAATAATCACATTTTTACTGTATCTTGTGAAAGTTGCAGGATCTGTAGTTTTTAGTTTTGTAGTTAGTAATAATGATTTTTCTATTTTTTTCTTCTCAAAACTCTTTGTGAATGAAAACGTTAGTATCCTAGGATACATAGTTACAGATCATTGCAAGTTTATAGCAATAATTGTGTTATTTTTAATTTTATAGAGGTCAAATGTAAAAAAAATACATATCCCCAGGATATGTACCGCACACAGAAGAAGTTTTGTTACATATCCCCGAAGATATGTATCGCAGTCACGGACAAAGTACATTGAGATTATGTCGCAGTCAACATGTTAAGCAGTTGTTACAATGGAGGCTGAAGCTGCTTGACCTACATTTATTGCGCAAGCGTAACCTCCTTCAACATTTTTGTGCAGTCATAGTGAATGACAAGAGACGCGCTGCTTCATAGAAGCCTCCTGAGAGACGATTTCTTTTTAAAAAACGTATCAGCATTCGCATTTTCTACTCTATTTTAAAAGTAATTCAAATAAATTCTGTTTTCTTAAACTTATCGAATGAAGTCAAATAATGTTCTTCGATATCAGAAGTTTAGGCGCTCAAAATAAATGTATTAAAATTTGTGACGTCATTTAGTGCGACCGATAATCGAGAAAATGAATAATAAGAACATGGCCCGACAGCGTAACGAGCATCTAGTGTCTAGTCTGTTTTTTTTTTTTCGAGAATTATACAAAAGAAATACGAATACTTTTTGTAGAAATACCAAGAGATTTTTTTAATATATCAATGAACTGTTAGCACATTTTAACATTAATCAAAAAACATTGCTCAAATGTTTATGTTTAGTGGACGTCAATGATAATTATCAAAATTCCGTCTCTTCCCATGAAGCAGTTGAAAATTCATACTGTCTCTATTGCTTTGAATTTGGATAAAAGATTGTTTGATCCCGCAGTTTGAAACATAATGACTTCAAATTTATTTTGACATTTTGCAATCAGTTACTAATTTCTACTAGAAAAATATATCATTTAAGCACATAGAACAAATCTTTACGTGTAGTTCGACACTGATTTTCATGTTTTACACGTGCGGATATCATAAATAAGTTAAATTATTCATGTTTTAACAAAAACTAATTTTCCAATAATTCTATGTACTATTTTCAGAGGAACGGAACGTTACCAGAAGTACACAACATCTACACGGGAATGACCGGTATGCAGGAGTTTGGCCTACTGGACAATCTCAACGGCAAAGACACGTTACCCTTTTGGAAGGAGGCCCCCTGCAACGCCCTAAGGGCAAGCGAGGGGTCCTTCTTCCCCCCCAGATACTTCACCAAGGCCGATATCGTCCACATTTACGATAAAGACCTGTGCAGGATCCTGCCGATGCAATACAGGAGATCGGTGACGAAACACGGTGAGTGAATATATCTGTAGTTTTCGAGCTACCAGTCAATGGACTCTCACTAGTTCTTAGTCCATCGAATCAAAGGTAATAGTTTCACTGTTGTCCTAGGTATCGCCGCTGACCTCTTCACTCCAAGCGACAATATTTTTGAGTCTGTCGATGTCCAGCCAGAGAACAAGTGCTACTGTCCAGGGAACGAGTTCTGTCCACCCAAGGGGCTGCAAAATATAAGCCCCTGCCAGTTCGGTAAGTAAAAGTTGCCACCGAACCAACGCCTGATGATGTAGATTAGATTAAAAAACGACGTTGTTACACGTACGCTTACTAATGTATGTCTTAGATGCGCCTGTCTACCTGTCATTCCCGCATTTTTTGGACGCAGATCCTAACCTTACAAAACCTTTCGAAGGGCTCAGCGCCGATAGGGAAAAGCACGAGTCTTACTTCAAAATTCAACCGGTAAAAGGCGACAAACATTGTTTTTACCTTACTTTGATGTGTATTTCCTCACTTTCTAGAAACTCGGCGTTCCTGTGGAGGGAAAAATCAGAGCACAATTGAACCTCAAGATAGACCAAGCCCCCTACATCACCGTGGTGAAAGATTTTCCCAGTATTATTTTCCCCATAATGTGGCTTGAAGAGGTAAAGACGATACAATGACTAGAATCTAAAAAAAATAAATGAATTCTATCAACTTGCAGGGCGTCGATGATTTAACACCGTCTATCCGCAGATGGATATACCTCGCCACTACCTTTGCGGACGTGGCCTGCCCTCTGATGACCTACGGCTTCATATTTCTCGGAACCTGCGTCATCCTTGGGGTCTTCGTCAACACTTACAAGTCCCTGGTCTTCACCAAGGAAACCATAGAGATAGGTAAATACCTGACAACGAAATTGAAATCTAGTTTCACATTTACTCCTGAGCTATTCAAGCTTCGGAACCCACTCTCAGTGTGCGCATCCAGAACTAAAAAGTAGCGTTCTGTCTAAGGTCTGTTTTAGAATAATAATTCCCCCACCTAAGTCACCCAGTCGCGGGAAACAGCCTTTGCAGAGATATATTACAACCTTTGTCACCTCTTTCCAGTCTCCGATTATACATTTTTACATTGATACAATACTCTTATATTTTGATTGAAAATAGTTTTTGGACGATGCCACTCTTTATTCACAATGTGGTCTCACTCATACTTATACACGAAAGAATTGTTATAGACTTACTCTAATCACTGGATAAACAGGAAGCCACTAGAGCAGCGGTCTTCAAACTTTTACGACTTGCGGAACCCGACCAACATTTCGATTTTTGTGGGGAACCCCCTACACCTAAAAAAATTTTCACACATTTTTTTACTGATTATATAATATATTTATAAATACTAGTTTTAAGTAAATTTATAAATTTTTTCGAATTTTGTAGTATAAAAATTATTAGTCAGAATTTTAAATTTTTTACTGAGTCGCGGAACCCCCAGAGGTTGTGCGGAACCCCAGGGATCCGCGGAACACAGTTTGAATACTGCTGCACTAGAGTAATTGTGACAACCTACAACATTTTTAGGAAGAACTACTTAAATATGTATTACCTACCAAACGAATTAATACTATACCCCCCAAATATCTAGAAAGCTGGTTTAGTTCAAACTAAAAATGTTTCGGCGCTACAGTCGTTAATTTATTAATTAATTAATTAATGTCCATTCCCCCACTCCTTGAGGTTCCAATCTATAAAAAGCCTGTATCAGACAATGCAATTTAGTTGCAGCAACAAAATTGCGGGGATTTTATTGCAGGGATAAAATTGCATGATTATTATCACACAATGGGACAGAATTGCTGCAATTTGTTTAGTTTGCAGTAGTGTTACCAACTGCACATTGTTTAACAACAAAATTGAAAAGCCTGTATCAGACAATACAATTTTGTTGCAGGGATTTGGTTGCCGCGATAGAATCCAAGAAATTTTTCTTATCAGACTATGCAATTCTGTCCCGGCAACTAAATTGCATGAATTATAACATGCTCTATTCCGTGCAACAAAATTGCAGAGATTCTAGTTACTTTTATGAAGATTTGTTTATTACCAACCTAGCTGTTGCTGGCTGGTCATCATGGTTGTTGTTAGTAACACCATTGAAGCCACTATTAAAGCTATACAGCAATTTACTTTTAAATTTTCATCCATTGCAATGTTTTTCTTGAGTAAAAAATAATTGTTTACAAGATACATACAAGAAATTTTACATATTAAACAATGAACAGTTGGTAACACTACTGCAAACTAAACAAATTACAGCAATTCTGTCGCACTGTATGATAATAAGCATGCAATATGCAATTTTGTCCCCGCAACAAAATCCCCGCAATTTTGTCGCTGCAACTAAATTGCATCGTCTGATACAGGCTTAACTAGAATCCCTGCAATTTTATTGCACGGAATAGAGCAAGTTCTAATTCATGCAATTCAGTTGCCAGGACAGAATTGCAGTCTGATAAGAAAAATTTCATGGATTCTATAGCGGCAACCAAATCCCTGCAATAAAATTGCATTGTCTGATACAGGCTAAATAGTTCTCTTGTGTATGTTCTCACTGTCAACTTTTTAGATTATGTTTTGTTTAAATTTATTAAAACCAATTATTTCTTTTAGGAATGAAAACCTTGAGAAGGCGAAGCAGTGCTTACATATACGGATCCAACAGGTTCATATCTAGGAGAGACACATACACTTTATTGGATATAAGTGAAGATGGAAATGAACTTCGCATTTAGCGGTTAAACCGACCCTTTATAAATTCTTAAAGACTACGAACAAATTAAAACCAGTAGAAAACAATGAATGCACTGCAACAATATTCCTTAGTTAGAACCAAAAAATTACAGAATGTACTTAAAAGTAAATTTAACCAATATTTTACAATTTTTTATTTAATAATAGGTCCCTTTTTTGTATTTGTGTTACCAGTTTTAGTGGGTAATATTATTTGTGAAAATGTTTTGTGGTAGGTAATTTTTTTTCTTGAATGAGTATGATCCGTCCTCTTTTGTAATATAAATACTTGTAACGAACAATAAGTAAACCCACGTTTGCAAAAATATATGGTGAAATAACGATGTTTAAAAAACATCAATTTTTTTGCTCAATGTTAGGAACTATGTGATAAATGTGCAATAGTTTTGTGTTTTATAATAATTTTGATACCGACAATTATGCTGGTCAGTAAAAACTGTTATCTAAAATTACAAATGTAACTTAAGCACTTACACTATAACGAGAATATCTAAAAAATTATTATGTTTTAACTTCATGTTCAAAATTATCCAGCGCTAAGAACTTCAAAACATTAAAATATATATATTTCAGTTTTGTGTTCAAAATTTCTTATTACCTAGTCAAATAATAATTTTGGGAGATGTTAATTGCAATTTGAAAATCATATAAGATAATTTGGATGCTATGGAATTTTATTTAAAAGTTTATTGTATATGTTTTAAGAGTAAAATATAGAAATAATCTATATTAGTTTATTACTGATATTAAGGAAAAAAGACTTCTTATTGACATTTTGCTCAGAAAATTCGAAAATGTTGAAGTGTACGGAGATAGCTGAATAATTTTTTAATAAATATTTTTTTAAATTAAACCTTGCTTTCATTTGTAAGTAATAACATTGTAAATGAATAAGTGCATAATTAAATAAAGGTTTTACAGGAGAAACACTGGTAAAGAATGTCACATTACTCTTAAACTGTATTAAACTTTATGTACATATTTAGTCACAAAAGAATTAACAAATTCTTGGTAATATATCACCACATTTAGCAGATATCTTCAATTCTACTAATTTATCCGCTCTGGTAGGGCCTATATTAACGATACACACACTTTTTTTCTCTTCTACGGCCTGCAAAATAATCCTATAACCCGAAAACACTGACAGACTTGATCCTAAAACCAATAATGAGTTGCTTCCCGAAACCACATCCCGAACAGTGTCGACCCTAGTTTTAGGAACATTGCCTCCAAAAAATGTTATATCGGGCTTTAGAGGACCTCCACAAGAGTCACAGTAGGGTGGTCTAAACCCCATAATGTTTTCCTAAATAACAATTATTACAATCAAAAAGGTTTATCGAAAAACATAACACTTACTTGAGATAATTCCACATCGCCATCTGGTCGAACCATTGTGGAAGTTTCTTTCATATTGGGGTTCATTTTCGACAACTTCTCCTGTATGAAGTGTCTACAGAAAGCCTTTCCACAATGCAAACATATCACTTTAAATGCCGTTCCATGTAGTTCAATAATGTTTTTGCTACCCGCCTTGTAATGGAGGCTGTCTACATTTTGTGTTATTACACTTGAAACTTTATTATGACATATTTCCAAATTTCTAATTGAAAAATGTACTGCATTAGGTTGACTGTTTGAAAATCTAGTCCAACCCACATAGTTTCTGGCCCAGTACCTTTGCCTAACCAAAGCTGATTTTATAAATTCTTGATGTTGAATCGGTCTGTGATTAATTCTAGCATAAAGCCCGACTTCCTCAGAGCGATAGTCAGGAATTCCTACAAAAACCTTCTTAACTCGTAATAGGAAGTCGTGAATGAAGTAAACTTAAACTTACCAGATTCTGTAGATATACCAGCTCCTGTGAGAACAGCGATTCTTTTCGAACTACTTATGAAATCTTCTAGTAATCTCACGTCACTGTCTAGAACTGGATTATGTTTGGGAACATAATTCAGCAACTGGGTAGAATATTGCTTGCCGTTATTTAGAGAATAAACTAACTGTAGATTTCTCATTTTATAGGTTAAAGATATTATTATGATGTCAAATTTCATTTTTGACATTTTGAGGACTACATATTAACTACCGACATTTGATCTACTCACATGGAGTACAGATCACACCACAGAATGTTGTTTTATATTGTGATTACGGTGTGGCAGCTTTCCTTTCACCCTTTTTCTGATTTCTGGAAAAGATTAAAGCCCGGATCCTGTCGGCTGTATGGAGTTGTAGATTTTAAAGTACACAACTAGTGAAACCTTGAAAACCTGGCCAAATACCACGGATTTCTTAAATTAAATTTAATTTAAGAAATCCGTGCCAAATACATACAAATATTACAAAATATGTTAGGCCATCAATATAGAAGAAGTGTATTTTTCTTTTCTTTTAAATTTAAATTCTTTTAGTACCGAACTGCGTCAAAAAAGGTGCTGCTAGAATGCATCAATGCAAATTGACAGAAATTAAATTAGAGAATCATTAAATATTAAATCATTTACTGATTATTGAACCTAGATAAAGGTTATTGAACGTTTTTACCAATCTGCCTGCTTGCCGCTATTCTGCTAATCGGTCGTTTAACCACGCAACAACAAACAAATATCTTTACTGTATGTGGACTGTGGAATGCCGAAAAGTGCTAAGACGTTAAGTGGTTTAATACTAAGATTAATCTATGCGTTGTATGTAAATAATTTTTAACTAGATTATAAAAATTGTTTAATACTTAATTATGTTTGCAGGATTTTAACTATCACAATCAAGCATCATGGTAGTCCGGTGTTGTGTTCGTGGATGTAAAGTGACAGCCAACGAAGGCATTAAGATGCATGTTTTGCCAAAAAATGATGAGGTAAATTTCAATTTCAATACCCACAGATAGGTTTTATTTTCATTTTTCAATATTTTCCGTCATGTTGCCTAAAGTTACTTATTTGTAAAAAAAAAATTCTAAAAAAAAAAATGAAGAAATTTATTAAATAAATCTTTGTGATAAAAAAATCAGTCAAGATTAGTTAACCAAAAATCTCACACTGAAAAAAAAAGCAGTAAATAAATACATAATCCTTACAACACACTTGTCATTTTGTTTTTAGAACATTTCTATTTAATTAGTTTAGACAGTTTAAATTTATTTGTTTATCTGTTTGTTTTTTCTTCATAATGCATTATTTTTTTAGAGGAGAAGAATATGGTGTCAATCAATCAATAGGCCAGATTTATTTGACATTAACGAATCAAAAAGGCGAAACATTATCAGGATTTGTGATAATCATTTTTTGGATAAATATAAAATTGATTTTCGTAATGTTAAAACTACATTAAGATTTGATGCTTCACCATTAATTACACTAGGTAAGTCAAAGTAATAAGACTATTATTAATTAATAACAAGTTGAAGTATATCATTAACTGCCATGTGTGTTATTTACATGTATCTTTAGTTGCGCTGTTAGTTTGGATTATAAACAAAAGTAGAAAACTGTGCAGTTCGTTACAGTTCACTTTGTTGAGTCACAGCTTATAGTACAATCAGCTGATCGGTATAGAGGCGGCATGTTTAATCTTTAGAATTTGTTCTTGATATTTACTATATTTCTTCCACTCGGGGAAAACCCGAATAGTTTTATTTGAAACCCAGTCTTCAGGTCAAAATAATATTATTGGACTGTCCTATTTTTGACATTGTAATGCAGTTTTTCTCTTAAGTTATTAAATTATTAAAAATAAACTGCTAATATTTTTTTTATATAATATGCGAAAATGGTATTTTGCCTACATTTTTAAGTTCGGTCCATAAAAAAGACAGTCGAGTAATAGACACAAATTATGGGCGTGGTTTAACTCGTACTATGTCACATGATTTCTAACCTTTAAGATTTATGTTTATTTACATGCGACTTACCAGTAACTTTACATTTTTTAAACTATGTAAGTAAATCTTTCATAGCTGTTTGGGTATTTTGCAATAATTAGTTAGTTATTGATAATAGTTTTTAATAAGTTAATGGTGTAGTATTTGATATAAACTATTAATTTACCAGGTAAAAATGCCAGGAGTGCGGTGTAGTGGTGCAATTTGCAGTAATAATTTTTATAGTGCTAAACAAGACAATTTCAAAATTAAATTTCATGTGTTTCCTAAGTGTAAAAAACTTAGAAAGATATGGGTGGAACGGAAGATACGCAATTTGTTTAATCATTCATCTGCACATATTTGTAGTACACATTTTGAAGATTCAGACTGAACGCGATTTTCAAGCAGAGCTCTTAAGTTTACCATCAAGAAAGACTTTTAAAGAAAACAGGTTAAATTATAAATTTCTAATTTAACTGATTGTTTTCACTTCAAAAGGACTTATCATGTTTTTACACTACTTAAATTCAAAAGGGTTAGTTCTATATTGTAGGTATACTATTAGACTCTAAATTTATTGTTATTGTTGTACAACAAATTGATGTGATTGTTAGAAAAACGATTGAAAATTTTAACTATCTATCAAAATGTGATTTTAATATTTTTGTAAAACCCTACAACTTTTCTTAAAATTAAATATCATAAATTCTCTGCGAATAACTTCAATTCCTTTTATTCCTACATTTATCTCTAAAACCGAAAAGAAATCTTTCAGAGAAGGCTAAAGACTAAGGCACCTATAGTATAGGTACTTGTTAAAACTTAAGATTTTTTTTATTCGGAACATCGACTGTAAAAGGATAAATGTGATAACTGTAGTTGGTACATACAAAATAAATTATGTTGCAGCCTATTATAAAAATTTAAAGTACTTAGGTAAGTTATTTGAAATTTAATTAAAGGCAAAAATAGATACAATAAGATCATATAAATTGTACACAATTTTTATTTTAGAGGCAAGAGAATATTAAGGTAGCTCTAAATTGTTTATGTATTCACTTCTCCCCTTCATTTTATTATAATACACGGTATATTGCGTATGAATGTCTCTTTGCTTATGGATATTAATAGATTTAGGCTATATCTGTAATAAAATTAACAAATTTTAGGTTAATTATGTAACTTAATGTCAAAAATCGTGACTGATCGTGGTGAGGTGTGTATTCAAGACAATTTCACATTTCACCCTTTTATTTCCAAATTTCAATGTAGAAATTTACTTTGTATATAAAGATAACATTTTAGACTCAAATTACCTTTTGGTTAACCATAATCATAACCGATCAAATTTATTATTTTATGTTAAAAGGAGCGTGGTACAAGAAAAATGACGATTTTAAATTTGCCTCTTATTCTCTTATGGGATATGCAATGAGCCAGAAAGAGATGACGGTTGAACGACGATAAACTGAGGAATTTGGTGACGTATTTGTTTTCCAATGGCTGATTGATTTATTCGGCGACGTCTCTTTAGTCTTTATGGACTGTGGGCTAAACCGTCTCTGGCACCATAGATACAACACTGGGACACAGCTTAATACAGCTGGAAGAGTCCGTGTCAAGCGAGACGGAATCGTGCTAACTCTCTCAGATTAAGCGGAATAATCGGGGCCGGATTAAAAGAATTTTTATTATTGAAATAAAATATTTAGTTTCTACCTGACAGTACCGTAGTAGGTAATTTTAATAATATGAAATTTGAATTAGAATATTACGTGGTATGACATTAAAAGTAGAAAATGGATATTTTAGATAGGTAATAGGTTATTTTTTACTCGGAGTTAATACGGATTATTAAAAGAAAACTTGAAGAGTAATTAAAATTCCTTGTTGTAAGCTCCTGTTTACTGACGTAATCCTTAGAGAAGAAAATGGTTAAAATCGCGTTTTTTCCCAAAAAATCGTTAATATCTCGAAAACAGTAGATTTTAGAGAAAAGTTGCATATGAACATTTTTGTTCAGGATACCCCAAAAAGCCTATAAAAATGTATTTCAAGCAAAAAAATCGAAAATTACGAATTTGTTTTGTAAAAATTGTTTAAACAATTTTTGACCATTAGTAACATGCGGATATGGGTCATTCAAGGGTCATTTTTTTAGTAAGATTATGAAAAAAAATTCGAATGAGAATCATGTTCCTAGCAAGAGGAACGATACAGCGTGGACTAATACTTATACATATTATAAAACATACCTACAATATAATATACAAAAAAATATAATAACATAATATATAGTATTAAAAACATAATCATTACAGATTTCTCCATTAATATAAGTTTATTTTTTGAATATTCCTAAAATTTTGGTTTATAGTTTATAACGTATAATAAATTCTAACCCTTAAATATAACCTAAGTACAAATTCTNTATATATCCAAAATTATATCATAAATAGCTATTATATCCACTTATCAAAAAATAAAAAAACGATTTAAATAAATAAAATATATCCTTAAAGGTTGCAAGGTAAGTTAGTAGAAAGATAGGTATCTAAATATCTACTAAATCCTATAGTCTACATTATTTTTCACATAATAATTCACTTGACATGAGAGAATAAAACTGTTTTTATTTTACTAAACAAAATCGAGCAGCTGATGGAAATAACGAGCCAATAAAATATATCATAATCATCTGATGTCACCGCTCTCGCTACTGCAGGTGGCTCAGCCGCATGAATGGGCAGAACGGGTCATCATAATGATTGATCTAGATGACCCGGGTCACTAAAATACACGAGTCTTCCCATCACTACATACGGGTCTCGGGAGCGGCGGCGTACTCCGTAAACCTCTGCGATCAATTTCATTACATAGTGCCACAGCACGGCCATACGAGATTAGCTGAGGTCCGCGACCCGAGTGATCCGACAGAACTTACCTATATCGGGATTCGGGTCAGTCAGATCATCGTAAAGATCCGAATCTTTGATCCGGGTCAGACCCGACCCGCCCATCACTAGGCACAATAGTAGAGAGAAAATGTTTATATAGGAATGAAGTAAAATCTCTTTTTGTATTGTTTGTTTGTAAATCTTTGGTACTACTAAAGTCGGGTTAGGTTATTCATTCGTCGCATATCATGATCTAATAATTAAATCTTATAATTCGTCGACGATAGTTGTGTATGAATCGGTAGAAATTTTAATAATAGTGTGTTATTGATATTCCATTTGAATCTCCGTTTTTTTTTTTAGTTATTTGTAATATTTATTTTGTGATAAGCTAGACTTATAAACTATTTGAAATGCCAAAATCAAAAACTATACGTAAGTGCATTGTTGAAAATTGTTTCAATACATCTTCAGATTTAACTTTATTTAGACTTCCAAAAGATGATGAAAGGTAAGCCATTTACTGTCATTGTTATAATTAAATGAATCTACATTTATATGTAATTTTTCATTTAATTTTAGGTGCTCGATTTGGCTAAAAAATTGTAATAGGTTGAATCTTGCCCATTTTTCATCAGAACATTTATATAGAAGTTACCGAGTCTGCAGTTCTCATTTTGACGCCAAGATGTTTGCAGGCACTTTTAGTGATATAGCAAAGAATAAACTGAAGAAAAATGCGATACCTACTATTATGCCTAGTACATTTCTAACATATTCCCTTAATAGGTACATCTACATTTAACAATTTTTTTTTGCAGAACGTGATGAAGAAGTAGTAATTGCAGAAAATCCCAATGTATATGTGCCAAATATTACACCCTCATCATCAGAACCTTGTCCAGGAACATCAAAGCAGTTTGATGTAACAACTGAAGTTGGAGGTAAGATAATTTGATATCATTGCAGCAATAATTCAGACGACTTACGTCATATGAACAAATGAATAATTCAATCAAAATATTTAAGAAACTACAACAGAGAATAATAAAACTATATATATCGCATTATATGTTTATACTATATATTACACTAAATTACAACAAATGATTGTTTTCAACACGACAAACTATCGAAAATTATGTTGACAATAAAAACAATTGCGTTATGTCACCCGTGACGCAATTTGTCTGAATTATTAACGCGACTATATTTCCTAAGATCCTAAATCCTAATGGACAACTTTTAGGATCTTTTATCTGCATAATAAGTAATTATGTTCTATCAATTTGGATTTTATGAACAACAATTTTAAAATGGGCAAGGCCTGCTATGTATTAAAGATGATATAACATGGTCTTGTTTCAATGATTGTATGGTAAACTACGGCGCTTGCATCGGACACATAAAAATACCACGCAAAAAATGAAACTTGGAACATGAAATTAGTATTGAGTGAAAACTCTTATTTGTATCCTCTTTGGTACTACTAGCCATAAGATGAGACATATGGTTTATGCAGGATGGAGTACCACCACATTTTTTCTGCCAGTGCGTCAGTATCTGAATGAACATTTTCCGCATCGCTGGATTGGCCGTGG